AACCTGACCTTATATTTTATACTCAATATGTCTTGACCTCATAGATCAAATATTATAGCATGAAATATTTATGATTTGAAAGAACTGTACTCTTATTTTCATTATTTTAGATTGTTAAAGATTATTTAACTTTTGTAATGATGTACATTGACAATTTCTAGAGAGACAAAAAATTTTCACAAAGATAAGCAAATACAGTTACATTTGACTATTGAAGGATATTACAGTATGAGTTAAATGTACTGAATCTTATTTTTCTTACCCCTGTATAAAACAGTCTAAATTAACTAATGTAGTAAGTAGCTTTCTAACATTCAAAATGATTTTCTCTGGGAGCAAAATCATTTTGTAAGCCAAATGCAACACTTGTTTAACTTTTGCATTTGAAGGACTGTTTAACCGTTAATTAGTTAGTTTCTTATCATTCTCACATAGAAGGTAAGTACTCAAATCCATTTTCCCATAAAACCTGAAACTCGGCGTCTTAAAGGTAAGTATAAAAAATTTGGATTTTCGTATGTTCAGTCCTATGACCACTAGATCAAAAATGTAAGGTATTTAGTGAGTTTAAAAGCTTAAATGAAAAATTTTAATAATTAAAAATTTTAATTTCTATCTGTAATAGATAATATTAGTAAGCTAAAGTAAGACTTACACCAGTTATCAATAGAGCAACTCAAATTTGTACGTACTATATGATTCACAAAGTGTAACCATGTACAATGTTTTGTGTGATCATACCTTACAACTACCAATGAATGGATGTATTTATACATCTATTTAAATGCTAGAGCAGATTATAGTAATTTTAGTAGCACGCCAATAGACAATGGGAAATGCTTAAAACTGATTTCATACATAGAGCCTGAAACTAGCTTGACATTTGAGTCACACCAAATGTTGCAATAAACTTCCTGTTCTGGTAAATTTAAAGGACTGATTTAACATGATAATTTGTCTCCTAAAATAATGTCTCAGGACCCACAATAACAAAGGTCAAAATTGAAGGTGAACCTGAACTGAGACTGATTAAAGAAGGTGAAACTGTAACTGAAGTGATCCACGGAGGTGCGTTATGTGTATTTCCTGGTGCCTACTTGGCATCAATATGGTTATTTTGAAATACTATTGGCTTAGAAATATTGAACATCTAATATTTTCTCCTGGTTTAAATAAAAATTGTTGGAATAATTTTCTCAGCTATGGGTCCTTATTAGCCAGTCAGAAAAAAAATATAGTTTGCCTTTTAATGGATTTAGGTGGAATTAACTTAACCATTAAGTCACCAGGTCCAACAAAACTGTGATTATTTCTGCATGTGCACATAACGATTATAGATTATGACAGCACTAATATCAAGACAAGAGGACATATTGGACTCAGACATAGAGGAAGAATAACCATTGCAGAAGACTCTGACTAATAAGCCACTACTAAGATTTATTACAGGATTCCCATTCCAGTGATGTACAGCTCCCTGGATTCTCATTAAAGACGCATTACACAGGCAGGAAACAAGGGTGACATGAAGAGTTATCTTGACAGCTGGCCCCTCCCCTCACCCAAGATTCAGGACATAACTATTATCTTTTAGACTTCTATTGATCTGAATTTATTTGAGATATGTTCCAAAAATGATTATGATTTACTCCTAAATGGTAATATTTTGAGAAATATACTTAATCATTAAAATGTCTAGCTGATGCAAGTATACGAGAGCTGTCCAGAAAGTATCCAGCCATTGTTAATATAACAAGGATGGTTACATGGCTGGGTACTTTATGGACAGCCATCGTAGGCTATGAGGATAAATAGGAGGATAAATCAAATACATTTCTCGTCCCCTACTTTCAGAGCCAATTATTAAAAAGTACACCAAAATCATTGATGGAGTACCTGTGGAAATAACAGAAAAAGAGACACGGGAAGAACGAATCATTACAGGTAGTCTTTAATTCCATACATGGATATTGCCCAGATTGTCAAACAATAGTTCATCTTAAATTATCTTCATAAGAAACACTGAAGAACCTGATTAAGTCATTTTCATGATGGTTACTGAAGGTACTTCATTTCTTTTCTGGCAGAAATCATGCTATTCTAAATATGTAATCTATGTTTTACTCTAAATTAGAAATTTATAGATAAATCTATAAGCATGTATTTTTATTATGGATATGTATTCATATTATATGATATAGCCTCTTTACTGTTTATTAATGAGTTATTGAATCCTAAAAGAAAAACCATTCCCTCCTTGGAGCTTTCGTTAATCTTAAGGTCCATATATCTATGTACAAAAATATATGTAAGTTTGTATAAAATCATTTATTGATAATTGTAATAAACCTTTGTATCAGTCCGTGACCTATGAATTAGTCTCAGATTCTAAATTCAGCTATTTCTATATGTATTTTTTTAAATAAGTAGTCAGCAAGTATGGCCTGTGCTGCCTATTTATGTAAATAAAGCTTTATTGGAACACAATCATGTTTATTCATTTGCATAATGTCTGTGGCTGCTTTTATAACGCAGTGACAGAGTTGAACAGTTGCAATACAGACAACATGACCCAAAAGTGTAAAATACTAACTCTCTGTCACTGTACAGGAGACGTCTGCCTATCCCTGTTTTAAACCTTTTTTAATTGTCTTTCTTTTAGGTCCTGAAATAAAATACACTAGGATTTCTACTGGAGGTGGAGATACAGAAGAAACGCTCAAGAAATTGTTACAAGAAGGTGAGAGTCTGTCTAGAAAAATTAGAATATAACTTTACCTAAGCTCTCTGTATCCAAGCCTAAAATAATCTTTGAGGCCTTGTACATGTTTCTACTCTATCTCATTCTATTGTTCAAGTTCCATACCAACACTAAAAAAAAGCATGAAAATATGGAATGAAGTATAAAGGGCAGTCATATTGTTTTGTTATACCGTATAATGTTCAACAGCTTTATAAGAAAATTAGTTTATCAGAAAACAACACTAAAAACTGTGAAAGAACTAAGTGTTGGTCTGGAATTCATTATTGGGCAGATGCCATTATTTACCACATCAAATCTGCTGTCTTTTTTGTTATATAAACCAATTTCTGCTATAAACATGTATCCTGTCAGAGGTCACCAAGGTCACCAAATTCATTGAAGGTGGTGATGGTCATTTATTTGAAGATGAAGATATTAAAAGACTGCTTCAGGGAGGTTAGTAAAAGGATGACAACTAACCTTCTTAACAGGTTCTGGTGATAGTTCTTCAACTTTTTAAAGACTGAGCAAGCAGATTTTTCTTTTAGTTAGGTTAAAAAAGGACAATATCAGCTGTTGTCTTAACAGATGGATTGGTTTAATGGTAGTTTAAGTAATAGTTGTGAAGAAACGATTACTAGTTTAAACAGTCTTTAAAAAGTTCTATGGTATAAAGCTTGGGGAGCAATGAATATTTTTTTGCTTTGATTCAGATAATTGTAAAGATATTTTAAGTATGTGAAAGGGGAATAATCTTTAAATTTCTAATTGTTAAACAAGCCCAAATTTGACATATATTTTATATTTTTAAAAAATGTATTCACTGCCCCCATAACAACTTAATAATGGCATGTTTTTGGACTTTGTAAGTGCATAGATATCCCAAAAAGTACATTCGGTAGCTTTCTTTTCCAAAACTACATCCTTGGGAATGAGTATTTGTTTCTTCTAACAGTTTGAGTGATAATCTATACCTGGAGATAGAAATTGTTTTGCATATAAAATTAATCTTAATCTTTTATGGAATGTTCTCTGTCTATGGCATTAAATACACTTACTTTTAAAAGCAAAGAAAAAAAAGAATTCAAAGTCTTATAAATTCTAAATGGTAATTATTCAAAGAAATATTAAATGTTAATAAAATATAATTTGGATCATTGGCATTTGAATAAATGGATTTCTAGTTGATTTTATTAACAATAAAAGTATTAAGCTGAAAAAACATTTTAGAGAAACAAGTATTTAAATTATTTAAAAAACCAAATATGCTCTTTGAAATATCCTATGAATTGAGAAACACAGTGGAAGTATGGTACTTATCCAAAATACAGTCCAGGTGGCTTTTCTGTTTATAATTTTAAAAATTGCATTGCTGTGTCCAAGAAGATGTAAATTCCTCTTGAGACCTGTGTATTTTTGGCAATTATTGTTTCTATATTCTGCATTTTAATATACAAAAAAATCTCTTACATAGTATTTGGAGACTTGTCAGTGATACTAAAAATGTAATTTTTATTTAAAGAATGATTGAATTTTCCCTCACTAGAAAAAAATATGTCTAAAAATACAAGATTTCCTTTCAGAACACAAAGAATATATGGCATGCCCAAGGCATAATGGAACCAAAGATTCATGTAAGATCTAATCCAGAATTCAGTATCTACCCACCCCCAAATGTTTAACTGCTTGCTAGGAAAATATCTAAGGATCTGAGTGAAAAGAAAAGCACATTATGAAGATTAAATTGAATTCTTTTTTTAAGTCCTTGCCATAGTAAGCACCTTTGTAGAATGGTAGCGCTTTTTAGAGAATGAACAAATTAGTAGTTGCACTTGTTTATATTGCTTTAATTCATTCAGGTTCAAACTTCAGGTAAGTATGATTTTCCCCTTTAATAAGCCCCTTTTAATGATTTATTATAAACAATAGAGCTAAGTATTAAAGAATTGCTTCAGCCAAGAAAGATATAACTGCTACAAGTTAAGAATATGATACTCAATTTTTAGTTAATGGACTCCTTTCTTAACCCTTGTTTCTGTTCATCTCAGAGGTTGATTCCTTTAGTTCCCAGTGTAGATCCCTCTACATATCTATGAGGCATCAGTTTTTACAATGCCACATCGTAAGTCTTTCTTGAAACATTTCCAAGGTTTTGCTTTTCATAGGAAAGACAGTATACACAGTAGAGTGACTAGTATCAGCATTCATTGGAGATGCTAATTTTTTTTTTTAGCCATCTGAAACCACAGGTCATCACTGAGTCACAAGTATTCCTTTGTCTAGATCCTAAGAGACATTGATTTACAAAGAAGGTGATATAAATTACATTATGCAGGGCTTTTTTGTTGTCGTTTTTTTCAGAGTCTGGCTAATTAATACATATCTAAACCATGGTCTTCATTTTGATAAGTTCTGTTTGAAACTGAGTTTTCTATCTGAACTGTTCATATTGTAAATATGGTGCAGGTCGTACATATTGATGATTTGAGTGTATTTCCCAATCACTTTAGTCCTGACTAATAACATGACTAAGTGGACTTTTCAGTACCGGTATTGTGATTTGTCACCGAAATACTACCAAGCCCTTAATTGAAAAATGTTCTCACAAAATTCACAGAATTTTTCATGCTTACCTTACATAGAAATATGTACTCTGAAAGTACTCAAGCAAATAAAGGAGAATAACAGGCTATGGAGAAAGAGAGAAAGAGCAAAAAAAAGTCATTTTGGAAGGTTTTGCAGATGTGCCAATATAATAAGTTATAGCCTATGTAAAGAATAGTGGATCGGGTTGTAGGTCTGCCTCCAATTTGAGCTCTGACTTAAATCTAAGATAGTTGATTCTTTTCCGCCTTATTTCCTTCATCTGAAAAGTGAAGATAGTAATGTTACCTACATCTAAATGAGTAAACATCCGAAAAGCTCTTGGAACAATGTTCGGCACAGAGTAAGCTGTCAGCGAATGTTACTATCAGTATTATCATCAATTAATATTAACATGGTCAATAAAGTAATATTGTACTCCCCACTTTAAATTTCTATAGTCATAGCCATGTAAAAATGTAAAAAACCAACCAAACAAATGAAACTTCCAAATAATTGGGCCGAAGCACTTTGCATACTTTAGGCAGAGAGGGAACATTTGTGCCAAATTATTCAGGTTTATCTTCCCACATTTTGCTGTTCTAAACATGAATATAACTCATTTTGAGATAGCAGAGAGCTTCTGGGAGCACACCTGATTTCTGCACTTTAATTAAGCTTTTCTTTTAAAATATTTGTTTGCCAAAATGAATGTTTTTTATTCTGGCATATTATCATAGCAAAACAGTAATAAATTAGCAAAACCTCATTAAGTAGATGCTAATAAATTTATGAAAGGAAATTTGAGTACACTTGCTTGTTTTAAAAAGTAATTTTGCAAATAGTTCTATGATCCTTATTTATTTGTTTAATTTTATTTTTTTGAGACAGAGTCTTGTTCTGTCATCCCGTCTAGAGGGCAGTGGTGTCATCATAGCTCATAGCAACCTCAAACTCCTGGGCTCAAGCAATCCTCCTGCCTCAGCCTCCCGAGTAGCTGAGACAACAGGAGCCCACTAGAATGCCTGGCTAATTTTTCTATATTAATTAGAGATGGGGTCTCCCTCTTGCTCAGGCTGGTCTCAAACTCCTGAGCTCAAGTGATCCTCCTGCTTCGGCCTCCCAGAGTGCTAGGATTACAGGTGTGAGCTAACGCACCCTGCCTCAGTCCACTTTCAAATTGTACAATAATTGACTATTTGGAATGTAAGAAATCCATTATAAACAAGGCTCTTACTCACTAATTAAAGGTTAGATCCATCTCCTCTTGGCAATCTTTTATAAGCCAATATTTTGTTACCATATAAACCTCAAGTTAAGGAAAATATATCTATTCGAGAATATTTCAGAAGTCAGACTTTGCTCTTACATAGACTTCCCCCCATTATGCAATCTAGTAAGATTTTCTATAGTGCTATATTTTACTGTAGTATTAACAATTTGTGGTAAATGGTTATATACCTTATATTCTGGAGAGAAAAAGACATGTTGAAAATGTGCTAAGTAGACAGAAATGGAATTTATAAAATTTTTAAGTGTTCTTTTTAAAAAATTATTTGGTTTCAAACAGCCAAAACTATTCATGGTGATAGTTTCATTGCCTACTTTTTATGGGATTTCAGAGAATTGAAAATATTGTATATAACAGAAAAATTTTGACTTCATTGCTGAGCGTAGATGATATATAAAAAAAACAAGAAGTCAAAATTTGGAGAAAAAAGCTTAAAAAGGTAAGTAGAAAAATGAAGCTGCTGTAGGATCACATTTACTCTTTGATCTCAAATGCCCCAAAACTGAGTGAAAATGTGAATTTAGGCCTACCAGGTAGTCTCATCATTGAGTTAAAAGAAAAACAAGGGAATCGAGAAAATGTTACAACTATAACAACACAAAACTGCATAGTTATGAAACCCTTGCTATTCTTCAATATGAAAGCTTTTATTATTTTTAACTAATTAATTTTTAAAGGGTCTTATAGGATTGACACAGAACTGGGCCATGGTGGAGGACAGTGGCACATTTTTCCTGAATTGCTTATATTTCTGGAGTCATCAGGGAAATGCTATTTTGTTGTCCTCATTTACAATAAAGCCATCACAAATTGATCTATAGTGAGAATTTTGCAGAGGCATATATTACAAATAGGGATGTCTGCAAAGATGGGTGGCTATCTTGAAAAGTATTTCTAACTGCAACAATTTAATTTTAGACACACCTGTGAGGAAGATACAAACCAACAAAAGAGTTCAAGGTAAGTGTATTGACTATAGAAATGTGTGTATATGGCACATTTTGTCATGTTAAGAGAAATCAAAGAAGAGGAGAGTATTTTTTTTGTGTATTTTATTGAATTTTGTTGTCTGTCAAAGAGAAAAGTTAGACAGTTTTGATACAAAGGATTTTGATGATAAGAATCAGAAAATAAATTGCTCATGTTCTGCACTATAAATAGAATCTAAGAATAACAAATACTAAAGGAAACGCAAATACATTCATGTAAACTGCAAGGCATATTGAACCACTGAGGTAGACTCAAGTGTATAATCCATACATTTATATAAAAATTGAGTGCATACAAGTTAAGTGTACACAAACAATTTTGTGTCTATAAGAGTTAAGTCAAAAAGCAATGTTTGAATAACAGAGCCAAACAAATATAGGTTGCAGACAGACCTAAAACCTTAAAAATGTTTTTATGTGAGATGAGGCTACAGTTTGAGACATAAGTAAATAAGAATTGTACACATACAGAAAACTGTCTGTATAACTATTTATAAAATTTTGATGTAAATGTGCAGATTATATGTGTTATATATTACATACGCACTACAGTTTTCTTCATAACTACACTATGTGCATTTTCTAATTCCTCCATTTAGGTTACCTTGCATTCTGATATATTGAAAGAGCAAAGACTTCCCTCGTGGAACCTAGAGTCAATTACAAGATTGGAATTATGAATTGGAATTTCCGAGATAATTCAATACTAACAGTCAAAAGAAGTTGTAAGGCTTATCAATGTACTATAAGCCTGTCTGATTTTAAGCCAATTCAATGTAGAGATCTTTGAGAGTAAAGGATCAATTGTGCAAATATTTTTTAACCTAAGGACTTATCAAGCATTTCTTGTAAACATCCAAATCCATCCAAATTTTCTAAAAAATTAAAATCATCAAATTTCAAATTTTTGGTTTCATATGACTTTGATCAAAAGATAATCTTGGTTTCATTGAGATAAACTAAGGATATTATTAAGCAAACTTTATCTAAAGTCTGTTGCAATAAGAGATTATGGCTTTTGATAGGTATATTTATACACAGAATATCATATTCTTAAACTCTAAAGTTTCATAATCTATACATCTTTCTTTCTTCCTAATTAGGATCTAGAAGACGATCAAGGGAAAGTCGTTCTCAGTGAAAATCCAAAAACCAGACCACAAAGTATAAACAATCCTAAGTCAATAACCTGACCTTAAAAGAAAATTATGAGAGCCACGTTGACATCAGGAACTGATGAAACATCAGCACAAGAAAGCAATCATCAAACAATTCTGAACACGAATTTAGTATTTTTTTTTCTGAATGAGGGGCTAGCCTCCTGTGGGATAGGAACTGAAGGAATCATATCACCTTATAGGCTTTTTCATCTTGATATTAAAAGTTCTGGCTAACTTTGGACTCCTTCAAAAAAAAAAATCCTTGTCATCGGATTTATTACAATACAAATCTAAGAGTGGTGAACTGTTATCTCATTGAAAGGATTGAGCTTTGAATGTATGTAATGGATAAATAAAATGCATGTAAACAGTTACCTCTCCATGGGAAGCTAAGTTATAAAAATCGGTGCTCAGCATAAAACAAACAAACAAAACCTTTTACATCAAAAGGCTTTGCACATTTCTAGACAATGTGGGTTTACTGGTAAATTATGTTACTTTTACAACTAATATTGTACTCTTGAAATGTTTGTCATATGCTTCTTGCAATACATTTTTTTTATCTCAAACATTTCAATAAAACCATTTTTCAGGTATAAAGAGAATTATTTCACCGTGGGTAATTCAGAAAACTCAAGGTTTAAGTTAAAAAGTGGTTTGGACTTGGGAACAGGACTTTATACCTCTTATTGTAACAAATATTCATTAAAGGAAATTGAATGAAATTAGTGTTTCTTGAATTTTTCAAACTATTATGTTATATAAAGAATCATTAGATAATGAAGCAATTATAAAACATCAACTAAGCACCTAATTTCACCCTAAGACTATGCTAAATTGTGAGGATTCAAGAGATGAATCAGACATAGTTACAGTCCTCAAAAGGTAAAGAGAAAACCAATTATCCACAATACACCATAAGCTATAACTAAAGAATAAATAGTACTCCACAAGCATGAATGCATCCATTTATTATTCCTGGGCTAGGCATTGGGGGAGCCACCGAGATGCCCTCAACTAAGATGAAGTAACAGAGCCCATTGCACGGCAAAGGAGAGGAAGAAAATATTTGCTCGCTGAGAATGATCAAGAATTTGATTTGATCTACACGGATCTCAATAAGTGTTATCCTTACCTTAGACTGGTTGAAATGAGAGCATTTAGGAAATGGAATCCATACTGAGTGGCAACAACATTATACCACGGATTGGAGGACAGTCATTGGGACACTGTACAACTGAGGAAAGCCACCCTGAAGGTACCAGGATATCCAGATGTCCATAGATGTCCAGCTTGGATCAGAGAAAACTGGTCTTGGCACTAAAGAATCTATAAATCTTCTTGAGTAGCTGAAAGAGTCTTTGTTTGAGGAGCAGTTAGGGCGAGGAAGTGAGATATAAAATTCTGAGTATCATTGACTGATGTGCTCTATAGCTTTGGTTTTCCAGAATGCTTTCTAGTCTTAGAGTGGTGAGATTTATTTCAACCAGTTAGGGTCCCTGCCATTTAGATCCCTTCAGGATTTTCATTTGATAATGAGCCAGATGTTTCAAAGTTGGACTTTGAACGTAATCTGGGACAATAAGATTGGTGTTGAGGTCTTCTTAAAGCCTGCTCACTTAAAGGCCCAGCTCTGTGACCATAGAGAAAAAAAGAAATCAACACTGGCTTAAACACATATGTAAATCTAGCCTCTCTTTCTGGTAAAAGACAGTCTTTCAAGTGACACATGTAAACGTGCTCACAAAATTTAAAGAGGAACTACTAATAAAATAGAAATAAATTTAGCAATAATATAAATAAAAGGACAAAATTAAAAATAAAAACAATTCAAAACCTTAAAATAAGGACTTTTAAAAATAAATATCAATCCTACTCACTTTCTAAAAGTGGAAGGGGCATTGTAGTATGTGCTGCTTTTACACACATTAATCCTTTAAAAATTATGAAGAGACTTATTATCTCCAGTTTTGCATAAAAAAAGAGAGGCTCAAAAAGTTTACATAAATTTTCTTTCTTCTTTTGTCTTGTACACTTAAATCACACCATTGATCAACTTGCTACATGCCATTACCTAACAAGTACAAACTTGGGCACAGCAAACAAATTTGTTGCAATTGTGCTGAGCCTTTGTGTCTGATTTCAGGTCTTTTTCTCTGTATAAGTGGCATATAACTTTTGGTTTGGGCCCATGGAATTGAGGATTGTGGTCTTAGCAGAAATCTACAGAAAGCATTATTTCTCAAGGTTAGGGCTCTGATATTCTGCATCAGGATCAACTAGGAGGGTTTATTTTTAAATGAAGATCTTGGGGTTCACCCAAGACTTAGATAAAGAATCTTCTGGGCAAACTTTCCCCACGATTCTTATAAACACTAAAATTTTCATTTTGTTTTCTTTATTTAACAGCTTTAAATAAGTATATTTGGATGACCATGAACTATAAATATTTAAGCGTACAATTTGGTAGGTTTTGACATATAATAAACTTGTGAAAACTAACACCACACTTAAAATTGTGAATTTATCCATCAGCCCCAAAAGTTTCCTCACGCCCCTTTTAATTCCTACATTACTACGCCTCCATGCCCCAGCTCCAGGCAAACACTGATCTATTTTCCATCACTACAGATAACTGCATTTCTAACTTTTCTACAAATTGAACCATGCAGTATGCATGGCTTCTTTTTTGTCTGGCTTTCCTTTCTCTTGGATTAATATGTTGCAGTGGAATGGCTGGATCATAGAAAAGGTATATGATAAGTATTTTAGGAAACTACCAAACCATACTCCAAAGTATTCTACTATTTACATTCCCACCAGAAGTATATGAGAGTTCCAGTTCCTCTTTCCAACACTTAACATGGCCAATGCCTACCTCTAATTCTTAGACTCAGTTTCCTAAAATGCCACGGAACATTTGCCCTGAACAAATCCTTTGTTTTATTCTTCTGGCTTTCCCGGTTATTTACTCACTGCCTCCTCCACTGTCAGGTCATCATCCTTTTCCTTTGTTCTAATGTGTGTTTCCATTTTTCTGGTGTATCACTTGGTGTTTATTTTTACTTTTGTTTGTTTCTTTGTGTTTTTTGTTTGTTCTTGTTCAATGAACTCACACTGGGAAATAGCATTCCTGTGATTTTTCCTTTTCATATTTGTAATCAAACCCCACCCAGACCATCTAACATTTCCAGTGAAATCAGATGTCATAACAATAGTAAGAATGCTCACAAATATAGGTAACATCTATTGGGCAGATATTATGTGACAAAACCTATTAAGCACTTTGTATGAATTCTCATGACAATTCTAGAAGGTAAATATGATTTTCATCTGTATTTTAGAAAAGGGGAAACTGTGTCATAGACAGTTTAAATAACTTGCCCAGGTTAGCAAGGGGCAGAAATATTAATAGAACTTGAATCTGCATAGTATGGCTTTACAGTCTGAGCTCATTAATAATATTGTAGACCACTCCTTAAAATTAATGCTTTGAGCAAAAAGGACCAAATTCTGACAATAGAAATTAGCCAGTGGGTGAAAGGAGTGTTCTCAGGTTTCAGAGACATTCTCCTGCCCAGGAGATGTCATTAATTATGTGATAAAATGTTGAATCCTGATTGTCAAGGAAAAATACTTTATAGAACTTTATCTACTTTTTATTTGAAGACACTACTTTGAAAATGATAGTATTAGTACAATGTAAATATAAAGATAAAATTTGAATATTTATTTATCTTACTCTTAAAAGCATACGAGTTTTATTTTTAGGTAACACATAAGTTGTTAGAAGCCAGATACTTTGCTATGACATTGATGGTGCCCTGCACACAGCATGGACTCATAGTAAGTATAACTAGTATGTACTGATATGTGGTTTCTAATAAGAAACAGTCTGAAAACATTTGACAAACACTGACTAATCTCATTTGTTAGCCAGAAGAATTTTTTTTTAGCCAGAAGAATCAGCTCCTTAATATGTTCAAATTGTTCAATTTCTGTGTATGGAAAGTAAAGCTAAGAGAACCAACCTAACATATAAACTTCAAGAATTTCATCACATTAAGTATGTCCTTAGTTTTAATCTCACATACATAACATCTTACAAGTGAATATCTTGATTGGCAATTTCATGATGCCTTATATGTTGCTTTTTTCTTCATAAAGAGTTCAAGTTTTAGGGCCGGGCGCGGTGGCTCACGCCTGTAATCCTAGCACTCTGGGAGGCCAAGGCGGGCGGATTGTTTGAGCTCGGGAGTTCGAAACCAGCCTGAGCAAAAGCAAGACCCCATCTCTACTAAAAATAGAAAGAAATTAATCGGACAACTAAAAATATATAGAAAAAAAAATTAGCTGGGCATGGTGGCGCATGCCTGTAGTCTCAGCTACTCGGGAGGCTGAGGCAGGAGGACTACTTGAGCCCAGGAGTTTGAGGTTGCTATGAGCTAGGATGACGCCCCATCACTCTAGCCCGGGCAACACAGTGAGACTCTGTCTCAAAAAAAAGAAAAAAAAGAGTTCAAGTTTTATCTTCAGGTTCCTCATGACACACTTAGACATATAACACAATGAGGAAATTGCTAATGTCAAAGGACAAAAATATTATATTTTTATGTTGCCTAAATTTAGTAAGTAAATTTTGGTTTTCACTGTTATTTTTTTCCTGTTTTAAACTATTCTCTTCCTAACGTTATTTCTTCTTAGTAAAAATGTGGACAAAAAGTCTAGTGGTACCATTAACACAAGGATGTAGACATACAGACTTCTAGACTGTCTTAATAGGAAGTCTAATTTCTGGCCCTCTCCGCCAGGGTGCTGACTCCCTTTCCTCAGTTTCCCCTGAAGCTGGCCTTTGCTCCCGTTACTATCCTTTGGAGCTTATGACTTATTTGCTTGACTCCAGCAACAGACTTCCAAATGGGCTTCCTAATTATAGTGTCTCTTGGTCTTATTTTATTAAAATTCAGCTCAGTTTTATTCCTAAAACCCAGCTCCGATAACGTCACTCTATTGCTCAGTGACTTTGAAGACTTGCACTTAACTATAGAAGAAACTCTAAACTTCTATGCAGGCATACAAGATGCCCTTCAAAAATCAATATATTAACCTCACTCAAAGTAAGACTTGACAAATACTCTATATATCAACCAAGATTGAATTAATAGTACTACTGATTTTCTGGAGTTGCCTGGTATGACATTTACCATGTTACCTCTTCATGTCGAAGGCTCAGCTCAAACCCTACATCGTCCATGGCACTCATCTTGATGTGCCCAGACAACCACCCCCTCCTCTTCTGATCTCATATAGTGCTTTGGTGGAATCTCTCTTCTGTTACAAATTATGAATAACCTTGCCTCTTTCCTGACATAAAGCTAACATAAAGCTATATAGTCATGTCATCCTTTCCTACAAAACTTCAGGCTTTAGATAAAGTGTTACATTTTCTTTACATCTTTGTATCTCACGGCTCCTAATAAAGTGTGTTTCATATAGATTATATTTCGTGAATGAAATAAATTCATCCAAAAATTTTATTGAATGTTTTTCAACTATTTCTACTGAATCAAAATAGTAGAACTTCCAGTTGTAATTAGTCCAAGTTCTCTCCATCTGTAATCATCACTCCTAGACAATAAGGCTGTAAATAACCAATTTGGAGGGAAAATGGCCTGAGTATCTTCTCAAGCTGTTGTTCATCTGTACACATCTGTCGGTGGTTATT